GCGTAGATAGCCCTCGTGTAGCTTTGCGCAAAACTCAAAAACAAACAAACGAGTGTGAAATTATTATAATTGCTTGAAATGTTTCTTAAACACTTATGTTTTCAGATTATAAGACATATTAGGTAAATTATTTGTACATTTCCAAATTTTGCAAATTACCATGCAACATTTTATGATTTTTTTACAACTCATTATAGAATTGTTGATTTTATTACATACCTATTTCTCAGAACACTTACCTAACATCCCACTTTTCTAGTCTAAAAAAAAGGTCATATATTGTGTCCTGTATGTGCCCATGGCAGTGAAAGAATTAAAACAATTACTGATTGTTATCGCTATTCTGATAAAAGTTTTACTTTAAAATCTAAATTGTTGTATACTAGGATTTCATTTAATTCTGTTTGTACTAATAGATAATTTCAATATATTTTAAAGGACCAAAACATGATAGTTTATTACAGAGATCAAAATGGTTTGGATAATGTACCCTTCCTTATCTAGCCCTTTTTTAAATATACAGAAGTATGTTAAAGACTTGTCAACAACTACATCAAAACAGTAACACTAACATGCATTAGTCAAATTTTGTCACATGGTCGGAGTTTTAGTGATGGGTATTTTCCTCGAAACAATCTGTTGCAAATAATTGATTTACATTATGATTTGGTATGTCTGCAGAACAGTATACACATTAGCACAGTTTACACATGGACACATTTACAATACACATTCATCTAAACAAGATTTCTTTTAAAATTTAATATCAAACCTAAAACATGTATGTGTAATTACATAAATGCATGGCTGGCACACTTTCTGATGTTTGATACAAGAACATAAAAAAACTACTAGATGAGTATGTCTTATTTTAGTGTATGTTAAACTTGAAGAAAACAAAATCAGGCTATATTAATGAAGTTGTTTATGTTTCAGTTTTTGAAGGTTTTTAGTCGTAATATTTCAATAGACATCTTCTATAATTGTCTACAGAAATAAATTTCTAAAAATAATTGGAGAATAATCCTTTGGACAGTATCAGTTGTCACTGGTCTGAAGGTTAATTGTATAATAGAATTTGACATGTTTTTAAATGTAGACTAGCAGAGACCAACAAAACATTTGCAGTCAAATTAGTATCGTTATTGCAACAGTACTTCTTGCATTAAAAGATTTCTATGTATAATACAAAAGAATTCTAATCACAGACACAGAAATCTACAAGTCCACTTGTCTTAGGCCTAACCTTTATTAAGTATGGCCTACATTGTATAAAAGAGATAAAATAACATTAACTTGTGTTAGTTTTTTGGTTTAGTTTAATCAGGACTAAACTTTACCGTACTCAATACTATCAATAAATATACTTATGATGTTACTCTATGACCTAACGTTAGACCTTTTTATAAACTTTTAATATGTTGTACAAAATGTCTACTAAAGTATATTTACATCTTCCTTTTGGTTTTTTTAAATGTAGTGTGCACGCATGTGCATTTAGGTAATAAGGTGTCTGCACATTTTCAAGATAGACAAAACTGAATATTATTATAATAGATAGAAATATGGAAAGTTAGCAGCATAAAAGGGAAGTTGATCTGGTGTGTTAATCTCTGGTTTTCTCATGTATTTTATGTATCCAGTTATTTAGAATCATTAAAGAACCAAAATAATAATTTACAGCATATTACTGTTAATAAATTCTGAAATAACTGTATATGTTCCTGCCTTCACACTCACAGTGGTGATGATTTAAAATGAATATTTATGATTAATCCTTGGTATAAAGATTTTATTGAAAAAATTATATATCTAGTTTTATTTACATATGTAAAACAAATATTATGTTGCTAGTATGCTGGACATTGTTAACAATACTTGGTATGAACTTCACGTGTTCCGTTAATGAAAACAAAGAAGCTGTATTAGGGATTATACAAGGTAGTTATAATTTATTACACATTTGAAGGATGTTTTATACATTTTCTGTTTATATTTGAAACTTTTAGTTAACAAAGTCTTGTGATTCACTATTTGGAAGTTTTCATAACAGCTATATTTTTTATTGTATTTAGACTGTAAAGGAGTTTATGGAAATTGTGAATGACCTGAGATTAAGAAGAAATGCTGGACCATTACAGTGGAATACAGCTGTTAAATTTATGATGGCCAGAAAGTTTGAAGTTCACAGGGCATTAGCTTTATATGAAGCTCACGAGGTCAGAAGGGTTTGACATCTTGCTACTGATTGACCAGTAAAATAATTCTGTGATTATCTGGGGTTAAATGTAAAATTGTATTTATTCTAATTATTAAAGAAAATACTTAATTTTAAATGGGTAAGCTTTTTTTTATTTGTAGTTATTTTAACAACCAAGGACTTTCTTCTATGTTGAACCCAGACATTGTTAATTTTCATCAGTTAAAAGATTTGATTTCTCATTGAATTTTATCCTTGATAAATAGGTAGAAAGTTAGAATTTACATATTTATCAAACTAATAAGAAGGAGAAACTTCAAGCAAGTAATAAGTTTATCATGATGCTTTATGCAACATCACAGTAAGTAGAATGAAAATTCTTAAAAAATGCAGTCTAGATTCTTTTATTGATCCTGGCTTCTGACCCACTTCAGGGGTTGTTATGAGGCTAATTAACAACATAAACATACAGTTGTAATTATAAGTTCAAACACATGTTGATATTGTTGAAAAAAAAACAATCATTATAAACATAATAGCAATGCTAAATAATACAGTCCATTTTTTAAAGAATTTTCATTCTACTTCAATTTTATCATCTACATTACAATAGGATGACTCTTTTAATATCATAGTAAGTGTTTACATTCAGCATTTCATTTTTAAACAAATTAACATAATCTATAAAAACAAGGGTCCATTTGATCCTTCAAAGCTGTTCTTACACACCATCCCTTGAAAAATAATAAAACTTTTAACCTTTATTTTTCAGGAAATTATTGGTTCTCTTTTAAACTTTTGTATAAGCCAGCCTCTACTACTGCTGATATCAACTCATTCCATAATTCAATCACCCTGTTAGAAAATAAAACTACTGGAGCCTGGTCTGTCTTTTCTGAAATCTTCAGATTGTGTTCTCTCCTCTTATTATCTTCAGAATATAGCACAAAGAAATCAGAAGCTTTTATCCTCTCAGCCTCCAGGATAATCTTGTAAATGTATATAAGATTATCTCTTATCTTTCTTTTCTCAAAAGAAAATAAGAAATTGTAACCTATTCCCATAATATAAATAACTCTTCCATCCCCAGAACCATTTAGGACTAACCTAAATCTCTTAACCTTATGAAAGGTTATTGGGATTATGGCCAAAAATATCGTTTATAGCTAGGGTATCCAAGTGATAAAAAAAGTTAATCTTTATAAGTAGAAATCTAAAAAAAGTATTTAATTACTTATACTCAAGACAAAATTGGTTTAATTTTACTCTTACTAGATAACTTGCCCTGATTAAAAGTTAATATTCTTTGTTAGATTAGGAAACAAACTGTACATGGTATTTTTTTAGTTCTGTAGGTTAAGCAATGACTGTTTATTCTCACTTCAGAAACTAAGAATCATATAAATTGATAGGTAAGTGTTAAGATGAAAGTTGCATCTTACAAAGAGGGTGGCACACAAAACATAACATTGGAGAAAAACTTAAGCAGCTATTGAGATTCTTATATTACATTTTGGTGTGTTCAGTTGATTGATACAATATTGAGATATCTTAAAATAGCTAATTGCAGAATTGCTTGTTATCATAACTTGCACATAAGGATTTGCACAACATTTAAAATGATAAAAGAAAGAGAATATCAAACATTCCTGTTTGATGAGATATAATTAACTTGTGTTGCCAAACTTACTTATCTCAACTAAATTTGAGAGAAAAAGAATGAGTAAAAAAAGGGTGGGTGGGTAATGAAACAGATCTTAACAGTCTACATTAAATCTTTTTAATCTTTGAAAAAATCCAAAGATCAATAACAAAATAGCCTGAAATATAAAGAACTATGAAGTATTGTTCTATTGATTGTAGTTTTGTTTTGTAGAAAACGTCTTCTTCAAACCAGAGTTGAACTTAGTCACTGTAAAAGAAACTTTTGTAAGTTTTGTATAAATATATACTAGCTAAAAATGGACTGTAAATATATGAAAAAGTTTCAACTCTATGAATAACTGAAACTTGGTTAAATGTATGATGAAATGAGTTTCATTGAAATACAGGGTTATAGGTTGTTTAGTAGGGATAGAGTACTAAAAGAGAGGGAGAAGTGAGTTACAGCCAGGACATGAAAGGTAATCACAATGAGGTTGAATCTACTTGGGTTTCTTTTAGTGGTTATAAGAGGAGAATGCATTTTAGTTGGAATTTGTTAAAGACCACCAGATGAAACTTGTGACAGAAAATTATTATTAGCAACCCACTTCAACTATATGGTTTACTGAAGATACATAAACCCGATGTTTCTTTTAGACCTATTGTCAGTACAATAGACTCACTTTGTCATAATACAACCAGATTCCTCAGTAAACTTTTTAACTGCTAATGCACCAGCCAGAATCAAGAATACAGAAATTTCTAAAACCTTTTTCATTCATCCCTCAGATGTTATGGTCATCTTTAATGTCTCAAATGTGTTCCCCCAGCATTCCTGTCAACCTTATTTTTCCCTTGGTGTATAATAAATTAAGAGCAATTGGGTCCCTATATCTCCACACAAGTCTTAATGTAGACAACCTTTTAGAACTTCTGATCTTCTGTATTAGCTCCACCTACCTTCAGTTTCAAAACAAGTTCTGTGAACTAACTAGTGGCCTTTTTATGGGATCACCTGTTCTCAATGGCATTTTAATGGAATATTTTGTAGTTGGAAACTAGGACAAATAACTTAAATAAAAAATTTGAAAATGCTATGTTGATGACAAATTTGTTATTTAGTCTCACAGATTATCATCACTCGAAGGTTTCTGCCATCACCTAAATTCTATAAACCCCAGTAAACAATTTATCATGCAGTTAGAAAAAAAAAGAACCTTCCATTTCTTGGCACAATTGCTCACTGACATGATGACCATCTCACCAGTGTTGTTTATTGGAAAACCACCCACACTAACTAATATGTACATTATGGGTCCAACCACTCAAAAGCTATTAAATGCAGAATTATGTCAAACACGTTTGATAGAACCAGAAAGATTTGTAATGAAGACCATGTTGAAAAAGAACTAACCTTCTCAGGGAAAGTTTTCAGAAACAACTAATACCATTCCAGTTTTATATTCACTGCCAAGAAGAACAAGATTCCCCAACACTTGACAACAAGACCAAGTTCAACACAAGTGAATCATTTCTCTACCCTACAATGCTAGAAATGTAATGTTTATTTTAAATTGGGAAAATGTCTTTGAAACTTCCTTACCTAAAGTTAAATAACCAATCAACAAGTCTAAATAAAAAGAACTCATCTACAAAATACCATGTCCATGTGGCAGCATTTACAATGGAGACACTGGTTAGATCATAGAACATAGACACATCTAAACTAACACATCCAAAAAATCAGCCTTGGCAGAAAATAACTACAGAGCAGGACATTTGCGATGAAGCTCACCACTGATAAGAAAGAAAAAGTCAAAGGAGCTATCTACATCAAATTACACCAACCTGAACTCAACAGCTTGTACATCAGTAGCTAATGGACAACCACCCTCAACAAACCCTGTAGGTGGATATGATGATCTCAAACTCCTACTGACAATACCTGCCAGTTACCATACCCACTCAACCTACATGCATTGGAGCTTTACTGTAAGGCTGCACCTTTATGAAACATCACACAAGTTTCTACAGTTATCTGAAGAAGGTCTCAGTATAGAAGTCATTTATGTTAAATGTCATACTTATTGGAGGGATGGGGAATACATTAGAGAAGAGGGGATGCCTAGAGAAAAAATGTCACATCTCTCACACTCGGGAAAATTCAGGATTTTTTTTATATTGCTTTGTAAAATTAAAACTTGTATACTATTAAAATATGAATTATTATCTATGATTTTATGCTAGTACTAGATGGTATAATGTAGTATTATGTGGTATTAGTTGTTTAATTTAATTTTGAATAGAACTTGATAAAACCCTCTTGACATATGCAATAAAGGATGCCTAGGTAGAGAGGGTTAACACTAATAATGAAACAAGGTGACATTGTTTCAAAAATACTGGTAGCAATTGGGAAGCTACACCTAGAAAAGCAGTCAACGACATTGAAATGCTGTAGTAATGAAACAGGGCAACATTGTTTGATACGTGGGTAGTAATTGGTGAATGCTCTAATAATGAAATGATGCAGAGTGATGCAACATATAACGGGGACCCACTGTACTAAAGTCTTCTTTGCAGTTAAAACTTGTGTATGTGAGATTGATTGCACCAGTGATCGAAACCTGTTTGTAGAACATTCTTCTTTACTGTAAAAGCTCTAACTTGTATTAAAATAATACATATAATCAGTAAATGAACTAAAAATGAAAATATTAATGTCAGGTTATATTTATTATTGCATGCAGTCTCTAAAGTCTGTCCATTTCCAATCTCTTTGTAGATGCAATTAATATGCTCCTCTGGAACTATCTTTGTTAGCATGTGCTCAAATTGTGTTTGTGAATATGATGTCAAATTTTAGATCTATGTTTGTTATAAATATTTTGGTTGTAATTTGCATCTACCTTTTTTTTTTTTCAAATAATTTTGACTGTTGTTTACAGTTGGTTTTAATCTTCATAGCATTTCTGGATTATCAACTGGCAAAAAAAATAAAAATGCCAATGCCCTCTTGATGGTCAGTAGCTAAACTACAACCCTACTGGTATTTTCCAACTAGCCACTGTTTAGTTTGAGCCTGAAAGTGCTACTGCTCATTAAACACTTGCATAATTGTAACTTCTAAGTACAATAAACCTAAACAACTGTGGTGAATTCTAATATGCACCGGTGTTTTACAGTTGTGTGAAAAATTGTTTCTTTTATCAAATTACTTTTTGTATTGAAATTCGTGACTTACTGTGTTAATACATACATAGTTTATCTATTTGTAATTGAAATTTGATATAAAGATAAAAAAAGGCATTTCAGGCTTTCTCATCAGATAGGTTAGTTTGGTGATGGAGATTATCACCCAATAAAGTTGTATATTATTTTAGTATGACATACATCTTGGTTTAAATTTTGTTAGGTTGGAAAAGCTGTTGAAAACAGCCACAGAACTGGTTCTATCTGAAAAACTATACAATACCAAACAATTTTTCAATGAAGATGCACAAAGTACGTTTAATAAAAGTCTACTATGAAATTTTTAAAGGCAGAATTATTTTTTTTGTGTATGTAGAGTACTTTAGTATATAGATTTAGAAAATCTAAGTGTACATACTTCATTTTCCATCTTCACTGATAGATAACTCGATTTAAAGAAGGTCTTGTGAGATTTGACCCTCAAAATAATCCACTGAAGAAGGAGTTGGAAACAGGAAAATTTACAGTCTTGGTAAGTTTTTTTATATTTTGGTACGTATATGCCGTCTTGCAATTATTAATTGTTCAAATTACAAGATAATATCACATTTTAATTACTGTATAAAGTTCAGTAGAGGCTATCAAACAAGTACATCCTAATTGCCTTAAACATCTAACAGAAAGCAGAATAGAAAATCTAACGGGTAAACGATATATATTGTTATACGTGAATTATTCACTTTGGCATAGCACCATACATGAATTTGGTCTTGAGACTTTGTTGATAGCCATGCAGAGAAGCCTTTATTTTTGTCCTTGCATATTTGCTGCCCCATCAGTTGAATTGCCAGTGCATTTTATGTCAATTTTGCATGAGTTGAGAACCTGTACTAGCAAGTGAAGCAAGTATTCCCCAGTTGAGAACCTGTATTAGCAAGTGGAGCAAGTATTCCCCAGTTGAGAACCTGTATTAGCAAGTGAAGCAAGTATTCCCCAGTTGAGAACCTGTATTAGCAAGTGG